GCAGTGCAGTGTCGTGTATTTCATTCAGTTGTATGAGGCAGTGCAGTGTCGTGTATTTCATTCAGTTTTATGAAGCAGTGCAGTGTCGTGTATTTCATTCAGTTGTATGAAGCAGTGCAGTGTCGCGTATTTCATGAAGTTGTATGAAGCAGTGCAGTGCCGCGTATTTAATGAAGTTGTATTAGTCAGAGCAGTGTCGTGCATTTCATTCAGCTGTTGTTTGAAGCAGTGCAGTGTCGTGTATTTAGTGAAGTTGTATGAGTCAGAGCAGTGTCGTGCATTTCATTCAGTTGTATGATCCAACATGCTTTTGAATTTGGTTTGGAGAGGATTGAAATTAAAAATATAATAATATAGCGGCTTCAAAGTTTGTTAGGCCATAGGCCTGTCGCTGTATATTAACAGCGCAGACAATCCACAGCTTGTTGCGGGCTCGAACTCACAACTCACTGTTTCAAATTTTATTTGCTTAACCGTCCGGCCACCTCGCCGATTCTGACCATAAACTGGCTCGCAGAGCTAAGGTCGAAACCTCTCTGTTCCAATCTTGGTACTCTGAACTTTAACCACTGGACCTTAGCCGTAATGATAGTAATAGTAATAATAATAAATGATAATATTAATAATAATAATAGTGATAACAATAAAATGAATAATAATAAGTTATATTAGTAATTTATAATAATAATGATTATTATAATAATAGGTAATAATAATAATAAATTGCTGATTGGAGCATGATACGCTTAGTGGGAGAAGTGTAATATTCATAATAACTAGGTGGTATTAATTATTCGTCAAAACAATGTGTGAGAGATCCTGAGGTACAAATTTAGACGTTTTGAGGTAAATGGTATAAAAGGTTAATCGTGTTACACTAAATCAGCTGAGACGTCGAAAGAATAATTACGCGATTTTAGAAAATTATTTATACTAATTGAAACTTTATCCTATATTTTGGATTTTTTATATAATGTAGTCATGGATAATTTGATACAATTTTCTTAATTAGAAGGACAGTGTTAAATTAAATCGAAAGCGAAAACTGCCAGGACAGTGTTAAATCGAAACGCCGTAAACGGAATCGGATTCTTGTGGGCCTTATCTCCAATGTAAACACACCCAAAAGTCGCCGTGCTGACTGCTGAGTATTGAGTAATAACGAATATCTTTTACATTTGAGGTGTGCTCGCGGTACTAGACTAAAATTATTCGAAATTATTTCTAATGGATGCTCAAGGGAGGAAAATTGTGGTTTGCGATAATGGAACAGGGGTGAGTCTAATATATTTTTGTGATCTGCTAAGCTGTTCACATGACATTGCATGACTCATGAGTCATGATGACTGCAAATCAGCTAGCTTATTATCATTATGGCATTCTATTGGACGTCCTAGAGGCTGGCAACTTCAATCGAGGATAGTATTACCACACTCAGCCTGTCACCAAAATTTTCCAAAATGGAAAAATAGGCAGAAGCAACCTGTAAATGAATGAAAAATGACTGAGATTGGAAATTTCTTCTTATGACACCCAGGGTGCAGAAGGTGGAAGCAGCATCGCCATTTGCCAATATATGGGTTTTCAAGCCCAAAGGGTCGCCAACCATTTTCAAGATGCGTTGCCGGGTAATTTTTAATGAAAAGCCATTTATGCTGAGTAATGAAAAACTATTTACAAGCCACATACTTATTTGCAAGGTTGCATGCATGTGTTACCCCAAATAACTAATTTTACCCTAAAAACAGTCCGATTGTACAGCAAGTGTCAAATGAACATGTGATGTTGTGATGATGCAGTCTGACCGCTCTAATGTGACCAAAACTACATTTTGTTTGCATTTTTTTTTTTGGCAGGAACTCATCGCAACCAATTTCCAGACAAACTTTACTGCATCCCGATCCATCCAACGTTCCGGAAACCTTACTTTTTTCTAAAAAGTTGGCCAAAGACTGAAAAATATATTAAATGCAAGAATTTCAATCTAAATGTGTCGGCAAGATCTTCTGAAGGCGTAAATTTTGCTACTGAAGCGCATAGTGGCAAACCAGAGCTTTTTTAGAATCAGTTCATTTTTAATTTCCTCATTTGCTCAAGATTTAAACTAATTTCTCAAGTATGATAATGCTGGTATCCATGATACTTTACTGGTCTACTAATAAGACTCAAAAATGAACTTGAGGGAGAGTCTAAAAAACTCTCTGCTTTGCCACTATGCTTTACTTGTCTACTTATAGGACTCAAAAATGAACTTGAGGGAGAGTCTAAAAAACTCTCTGCTTTGTCACTATGCTGAAGCGTCGCCAAAGATCTTGCAATATTCATCCACTATCTGCACAGTGGTATGACACAAATCTTGTGGCCCCCAAACACATAGTGTCAAAGAAACTTTTTATTAGACTCTTCAACTAGGCTAGTTCATTTGGAGTCCCAGACAACCATAGCACTCCACATGCTAGCAGGCTGGAATTCTAAAATTCGTGGTTCACATAGAAAAAGTGTTCCGCCTTAAAAAAACGTTCCAGGCAACTAGAAACAGGTTTGCAGGCCGTCAGAAATCGGCTTTGGTTACGGTAGCTATGATTGTATGAACGTCAAGTCAGGCAACACAGAGAAGGTCCCATGCAAGATCAAAGTGGCAAACCAGAGCTAGTTTAGAATCAGTTCATTTTTAATTTCCTCATTTACTCAAGATTTAAACCAATTTCTTATGCATGATAATGCTGGTATCCATGATACTTTACTGGTCTACTTAACTTATAGGACTCAAAAATGAACTTGAGGAAGAGTCTAGAAAACTCTCTGCTTTGCCACTATGAGCAAGAGGGATGGATCTATAGAAGGAAATACTATTTACTCCCAACATAATAGTTTCAAATTAAATATAAACAACATTTATGGCACCTATTCGTTACCTCAGCTTTCAAATTGAGGAGAAACTCATCGGCAGTTGGAGAAACTTCTCGAAGAAAAGGCAATGCACAACAAACAACATGACACTTCACAGTTGACTGACTAGAATAGACTCAATAGTCAATAGAGTACTCGAAAGTCAAAAATTTAGCATTCAAACCTTTAGATTCTGTGAACCTTGTGATTTCTTCATTATGAAAACTTTAGAAGGCTCACAATATATCACGTAAAGTTTTCACTCAATTATTGTCTCCAAGTTCAGGAGTTTTATCTGCAGTTAATTCAGTTACCTCACACACCGATTGCTTAACGAGAACTAACAAGTAAACAGTAAACACTAACCATCGTTCCCACCACTTTGGCTGTTGCACACGATTGATTCTGCATGTATAACATTTACGATTTACGAAGGTTATTAAACCATTCTGTTGAATGCCAGTTACTGATAAATTTGTAATATCATTTTTTCAAATGAGTATATTGATGGTTGGTGTCCCTGCGGCCTTCTACCTTCTTTGTTTATGTTTTTCGTTAAGTTGGTAATCCTGATCGTAATGGTAGGAGTTTCCATGTCTCTGCTTATTGCATCAGTGGTCAGTTTTGTATTTGTCGATTGAATCGTAGGCAGTTTTTCATGTATTTGTGAGTGAGTGTACATAGCAAAAATGTCATTCTTTGCAATTTCCATCAATAATGACATAACTACACTATTGCATTACGCTCTTGAAATAAGAATTGTAGCATTAGGCATTAAGTTAGCATCAGTGCGTCAACATTGTGTGCATTTGAGGCGGTCCCTTCTAGCTTTCTATCGCTGATTGGATTTCAGTGGCTGTGATGTTGCACACGTTCTAGCAATGATTGGATCCCTGTGACAGTTCGTTGGACGCGTTCAAGCATTGATTGGATTCTTATGACTGTTATATTGGACGCGTTCAAGCATTGATTGGATTCTTGTTACTGTGATGATGCAAGTGCTGTTTTTTTTCAATGAAACAGCTGTGGCATATTGCAGAGACTCATCAGTGATGATGATGGACTGAAAGTGGAAGTGTGCTGGACATTCCAGATTTTTGGGTCCTGCTTTCTGATTTGCTATGTTTACCAGTTAATATATTACCCCTTTGGAATTCCACACTGCCTGCTAGGATGCCAGGATAGGAGAGGAGGGGTTTGCAATTCAAGGGCACTACAAGTTTACAAGAGTGCTAATAGTTGAGGAAATGGCAGTGATTTGGATGCTGGAGCGCTGTACTGCACTTGTCCAGAGGGCAGAGTGTCCCACTCCCATACCAAATGCAATGCACTCCTATTTTGGCCACCTTGCTTCCAAGTTACGTAGATAGTGTAAAAGTATCAAACAAAAGATTTTTTTAATTAGTTCATTTATAATCTCCTCATCTGCTCAAGGTTTAAACTAATATCTTTTGTATGAAAATGCTATGAAGTAAATATATTTTGTTGCCCTCCATTAATAATTGTGGCTCTTATTAGATACCCATTGCCACAATGCCACTTTGTAGTAGCAGAGCCATAAAATTTGACAGCATATTCAAAAATTATTTTTTTTATTCAAGGTTATATAATATTATATAATAAAAGAAAGGGTAACATCTTTCTTCACTCAATTTGTGGGAAATCATCTTCTTTTATTATGGAACCACAAATATAAAGAAAATTTGACAAGCATATTCAAAAATTATCTTCTTATTCAAGGTTATATAATATTATATAATAAAAGAAAGGATAATATCTTTCTTCACTCACTTTGTGGGAAATCATCTTCTTTTATCTATGGAACCACAAAAATAAAGATCATCACCCTGCCTTGGTTTAAAACAACTTACTCTCTAGTCAAGTTAGAGTTTTCTATCAAGTTTGAATTCAAAAGTTTGACCAATTGGGCAGTGCCTTTTATTACTGAAAATTTGAGCTAAAATGTTATATTCATGATGAATTTGAATCTTGTGGCTCCGTAGATTACAAAAATGTCTATTCACTAATGGCTTTGAAAGTATATTGTAATATAGATATTTTTCATGCTTGATTGATGGTAGCTTGTAAAGAATTTTTTAGATTCTAAGAACCAATTATGCAAAAAACACAGTAAATGTCTAAAATGATCATAATGTTTAAAATATTTGTGAGAGATATTGAATATAACATATTAAATATCCACAAATTATTTATTGTATAAAATAGTTTCATATTCAATGCTATATATTATTTTTAATTAGCCATGAAATTGTTAATTACTGGTCATTTATTTATGCATCATCAATAATTTTTTCTCTTACATAATGCTATAAAAATATAACTCAGTATTTACTGCAGTGAGTGACAAAGCGCGCATTTTCTCATCAACAAAAACATGTAGTCACAGACAGATGGACAGACAGACAGACGGACGGACATGACGAGCACAATAGGTAGCGCTTTTTTCCATAAATGAGAAAGTGCGCTAAAAAGTTCTGGTTCTACTTTTCAGTTTGTCAAAGTTGGTTTTGCTGGCTGCAACTTCCCTTCTCACATCTTCCCATCAATGGTTGGTCGTCCCATAATCAGAGCAACAAATAAAATTGGTGACATTGAAGTGAAGGTAAGAATGATGTCATCTTTATGTTCATTGCTTTGTAGTAATTTTTTCAAGCATTGTTTAGTATTTGTCTTATAAGTTTAATCACATGAGGTCTGTAAGAATGCTGATTCTTAATTTTTCATGAATGAATTATTCTACATTTTTTGAACATTCTATAAGCGTGAAGCCAAGGAGTACAATCTGCCTTCCAAAATACTAAAAACTATAAAAAATCAACAATTGACAGAATCAACATAGCTAGTTGTATTTAAAAGTAGCTTCTCAGCAATGTCTTTATTGTATAACAAGTGTTACTTATTTGTAAAAAGTGATGAACATTATCTATATTGATAGTGTTCTTATATTTAGTTGCATAGATACTTCTAGTACTTCTATTCCTAAACTGAAATGGTTTCTAACAAGGTAATGTGTTCTACTCTGCAGGAACTCTACGTAGATGTAAGAGCTTATTCTCCAGGTATTTGATTATGTGTGATTAAATGAATTGGCCCTACTGTCACTAAACCTCTTGGATGTTTTTCCATTTTGAAAGCTGTGTGGTGAAATGCAGCAATTATTTGCAATTATCTGTTCTGGCTCATTTGATGAAAATGAATAATATTTGAAATGGTTATTTTCTCCCTTACGTTCTAATCCTATGACCCTAATTAACTCTGGTGCAAGCAGGTCACTACCAACCTGGAATGCAATGGTTTCAGATCTTCATTCAATGATGGATTTCTCAGATGTGTTCCATTTCCTTCTGAGGGAATTTTTGGTGCTAAGCATTAAATAAATCTAATGCTAAGAATTAGGTTTTTTCCCATCAAAATGTGACCTGAAATACAAGAATAATGACTGAAAAACCACATATGAATAAGAGAATTAAACTTGTTATCATTCTCTTCTTTACTGCCATATATATACTCTTTTAGAAACATTATCTGAGAGTCTACAGAGGCTAATTAGGCAGCCAATAAGTGTATTGAAAGCCCATTTAACTGAGTGCTGCATGTCATCCCAGCTTGAATGTGACTGGCATACACAAACTACAGAGCCTGAAGATGCTTTTGCTCATGAGCAACTCATCTTTTAATTTGCAATTTGTTAGTCAAAATTTCAAATTTGTTATCAGGTTTCAATTAACATTATCAAAAACAATTGTGTTTTTACAATATGAAATTTTACCAATATTGTTTCAATAATGTTTAGTATTTTCCTCTGATTCTGCTAAGAAATTAACTGTCTTCTACTAATCATAACCTGAAGGTGAATTGCCTCTCGTTTAAATTTGATGTAATTGCACTAAAATTAATTATGAATAGATAAATGTGACACTGCTTCCATCCATTCACTGAGATCATTTGTGCCATGGTACTGGGAACTTCCCTGTCATTGTTGAGATGCTTGAACTGCCATTTCTCATGTGGATCAACTGTAATTATTCAGTTAAATGAATAATATTTTCTTGAGATTCTTATTGTTTAAGCAAGGGAGGTAGCCGTCAGTCTCACAAAAATGCATTGCTACCATTTTATTTGTGTGTGATCTGAAGTGATATTTACTGTAGCATGTATATGCCTCAGTATCTTTGAATTGGAGTTTGAAGTTTACCTCTTTTATAGGCAATGCTTTGGTGACAAATTTTTAAGTATATCATTGTATTTTTGCGGCTTGAGGAGTGGGCCCATTTCCCTGTGAGTAATTTCCTTCCAACCCATGAATAATAAACCTGCATCATTTGATTAGTTTTTAACTTGAATGTAAGCTTAAGGTTGTGTTAGCTAAACCTGCCAGCAGTAGAGGGAGATTGAAAAATAAATTACATTATTACTTGAATTACCAAACATCTGCAAATGTTTTAGTTCCTTTTCGTTTTCCTTGCTTCCAACATAGTATGTGAAAAATGTTCTAACTACTTAATGCCTGAAAAATTGAAAAGTATTTTGTTAATTTTTTTAAATTCTGAAATAGTTCATGTGTTTAACCTAGTTTCCAGAACCCTTATGAGGATTATATCTCTAAATAGAACTGAATTGCACTCCAGCATCAATAGTAATTTTAATCACAACATTCCTAAATATTTCTTGAACATTCTGGAACTCGCTTGATTCTATTGATTTTGTGAAACATGAATGTTAGGCTTTGGTACTTCTCTGTTACCCAGAATGTTGGATTAAAGAATATCAATTGTGGAGCATTTTATACTTATTAGACATAGGCAGTTATTTGGTTTTTTGTTATGTTCGTCTTCATTTCAGCAATTTTCTAATTTGACTGCCTTCTACATATTCTAGCTACTTGTTCTTGTTTGGTCTGAATGATTGACACAATTTTATAACTTCATATTAATTTTAGTATAAATTCAAAATGAATAATTTATACACCAATAGAAAAAAAATCTATTTATGAGCATATTCAAAATCAGAATTGGGCGACAATGGTGGCAATAGTTGCAGATATAGGTACTGTATTGAGCATTGCATCCTGCCTAATGGATAGGACACATAGGAAATGAAGATCTGGCTCTACACTTTTAGCCACCACCTGATCTCACCCCATGTGAGGTATTTCTCATGGGGTTATGTCAAGGAAGCTGTTTTTGTCCTGCATCTACCATCAACACTGGTTGATCTGAAGATCCGTGTATCTGCTATGGTGCCCTCAGTAACAGAAGATATGCTTTCTCGTGTGTGGGACAAGTTTGGCTGCCATTTAGATGTTTGCTGTGCAGCGCTGGGGGGATATATTGCACATTTATCGCTATGTAAAAAATGATGTATCTATCTCTTTCCATTGGTGTATAAATTATTCCTTTTGAATTTATACTTGAATAAATACAAATTTATTAAATTGATCCATCATTTAGATGGATACCCTGTATGATGTTTATTTTCTGAAATCAATCAATATGATTAATTTAAACAATTTCCTCTTTAAATGTCTTTTCTAGTTACATATTTCATTTGACATCAACCAAGAACTTTCTTAAATTTTCATTAAATTTAAAAACTTTTTACCAGTTCTATATTACTACCTTCTCTAAAAAAATATTAGTATTTTTTAAAAGTGAAAATTTCCAATTAGAGAATGTAAAATATATTTGAGATGCATAGAAGTAAGGCCAAATATCTTTATTAAATTTAACTTTCAAAATTGGCATTGTGTTTCATGTAGTATAACTGTGTAAGATGTACTGTATACCAGTGCTAAAAAAATATTTTGGAACTAATCAAGAATCAGTAAAAATCTTTATAAATATGGAGATGATACTTGATACAAAGCAGTATGTATGAAATGTAGTAACCATAAAATTCCCTTATTCCTTAAGAAGACATGCTAATAATTAGGTACATGTTTATAATGGAGAATGGGAATGCCTTTGACCCTGCCTTTGCCTTCAACTGCCTTTGACCCTGTTCTACAGATGTACTGCATGTCAGATTTAACAACTGAGGTTTCATTTGACTTGAATAATTGTTAATTGTTCTGTTGAAGTTTGTGTACTAGAAAATTACCCCTTATTTCTTCTATAGATCTCACTGATTTCATTACACTCAGCCTGTCATTTATAACTTTCATTATTTTTAATTGGAAATTTAATGAAATTTTACTACTCTAAATTTTTATTTCCAAAAATTGTTGAATTGCTTTATTGTAGCCAACTGCACATATGGAAAAAATTTTCAATTTTCTTCTCAATACTTTTCCTACCTTGATTATGATGTTCATTATTCCCAAAAAATTAACATCATTTGCTCTCTTCCTCTATACCTCCTGACCTTGCCAGGACCTGATGGTAGGAGATGATGCCAGCAAGCTCCGTTCAATGCTTGAGGTCACTTACCCTATGGAGAATGGCATTGTCAAGAACTGGGATGACATGTGCCATATCTGGGACTACACCTTCGGCAATGAGAAGCTCAACATCGACCCCAGAGAGTGCAAAATCATGCTCACCGAGCCCCCTATGAACCCCTTGAAGAACAGGGAGAGGATGCTGGAGGTGCGACTCGTGCAAAAGGACTCTTCATATAGTGAATGAAGTGTACATATATTGTTTATATGCATATAAGGTGCCATATGTTTATATTTTGAACAATTTGTTGTCACATTTTAGTGATTAGTTATGAGGAAAAATTTTTACAATGTAATTGTTTCGCAACGGTTATCTTAAAACCTCTAATCTGGGTAGAAATATGGTTACTATTTATGTCATCTCCCAGTTAATTGAGAAGTATGATTATGATTTATTTCTTCTTGCAGGTGATGTTTGAGAAGTATGGATTTGCTGGAGCGTTCGTGGCCATACAGGCGGTGTTGACACTGTATGCACAAGGTCTTCAGTCTGGCGTGGTGGTTGATTCTGGGGATGGCGTGACGCACGTGTGTCCGGTCTATGAAGGCTACACTCTGCCTCAGATAAGGTGAGTATTATTTCAACCTGCCCTTGTGCTCAGTAAATGCTCTTGTCGCTTCTTAGATCATGTGCAGGATCCTTTAAACATGTTGGATATTCTCCACTATATCTTACTGACAATGAGTGTAATTTAGCATTATTCAAAAATAATGGGTGTTATATAACCTACTCTAGATATATTTTAAGTGTTCTCAACCCATTCACAGACTAAACGTGTGTTATCAAACCTGCAGCACACACCATGAGGTTTGTTATACGCATTTCATACGATGTAAATATTTAGATGTTCTTTTCTCTACCGCGGTCACGACGATTGCCCTATTGCTTTACATCTATTCCGAGGGATATTCTCTAGCTATCTGAACTGACGAGATTTAGACAACATAATGAAAATATATTATGTGGCGCATATCAATGAAAACATTGGCTGGTCTTGCAGGCGTTTGGACATAGCAGGACGCAACATCACGACGTACCTCATCAAGCTGTTGCTGCTGCGTGGCTATGCCTTCAATCACTCCGCTGACTTCGAGACCGTGCGCATGATGAAGGAGAAGCTCTGCTATATCGGCTACAACATCGAGCAGGAACAGAAACTTGCCAACGAAACTACCGTACTCGTGGAAAACTACCAGCTGCCGGACGGCAGAGTAATCAAGGTGGGTGTTTGAATATACTTTAATTTGTTTTTAGTCTCATTTTCGGCAGTTTTATAGTTTTCTGCGTGTATGGTCTCTCTATTGTAGTTTTTTTTTTTAATTTTAATTTTATTTGAAAGCCTCAATTTACTGATGTCCAAACATTCATCTAGATATGTTATGCATTCAGCTGGTATTGAATTCTCAGCTGACAACTGGACGCAGTATGTAAAACGAGATAGTAGGTATACTATTTCTACGGGAAAAAAAATTCACTAGTGATACTATTTCTACAAAAAAAAACATCCACTAGTGAGTTGTTGCATATTGGGGCTAAACATGGTGTTAAGATGGGTATAGTAATGCTTGTATATAAGATGGGTACCGGTATAATGCTTATATCTCTGCTTGAACGATGCATGTAATGGTGGATGTATATAGCAGCGGGAGCACGAGTGTACCATGAATGTAAATTCAGTAGACCTCTTATATGTATCTATAAATTATGCTGATTGTTAACAAGATAAATTTTTAATGCTTGAATAAAATTTGCACTCGAGAAGCCCATTACTAATGAGATGATAATTAATGAGGTGGGTGGCGAGCGTTTCGAGGCCCCAGAGGCGCTGTTCCAGCCTCACTTGATCAACGTGGAGGGCCAGGGCATCGCGGAGCTGCTTTTTGACACCATCCAGCGCTGCGATATTGACATCAGACCTGAGCTCTACAAGCACATTGTGCTCTCTGGCGGCTCTACCATGTACCCTGGACTGCCATCCAGACTCGAGAGGGAGCTCAAGCAACTTCATCTTGAACGCGTTCTCAAGGTGTGAATTTACAAGTTGTACTGCACACTCGATGTATCTTTATTTTCTGCGTATCTCATTCACCCTAACGATGAAAATCATATATTAATGCGCTAACGCTGAATATCATATTTTAATGCCTGTTTTCTTTAACGCTGTATTTTACATACCTATCAATGTGATAAATTTACGCCCTGATGCTGAATATTAAATATTAATACGATATTTTATACCCTCATGGCGAACATTATACCTATACTATTAACGTTGTAACTGCTACAGGGCGACGTGGAGCGACTCTCGAAGCTGAAGATCAGAATCGAAGACCCGCCTCGACGCAAGGACATGGTCTTCATCGGCGGCGCCGTCCTGGCCGACGTCATGAAGGACCGCGAGAACTTCTGGATCTCCAGGGAAGAATACCTCGAGAAGGGCGTCCAGGCGGCCATGGTCAAGCTCATGCCCGGGGGAACTTCGTAGACAAGGGCAAGACAGTAGTGCAGTGCTGGGGGCGGGCAGTGATGCAGTGCTGGGGGGGCTGTGTTGCAGGCCGGGGGGGACTGTGATGCAGTGCTGGAGGTGGGCAGTGATGCAGTGCCTGGGGGAACTTCGTAAACGGGGAGCGCCTCTTAGAGGGTGAGGAAGTGGTGCAGTGCCGGAGGGAACTTCGTAGACGTGGGCGGCGGCGGATCTTTAGGAAGAGCAGTGATGCAGTGATACTACACTTGGACGATTTAGAGATTTTGTCGAAATATCGATGCCCTTCTAGCTTATGTCAGAATCAACCTGACCTAGTTTTGCCCGGAAAATTGAGGTATCAGTGTTACATACGGATAGTATTGCACTATTTGGACAGTGTGACCCTCGTTTGTCTGGGTTTAGAGATGGTTTGAGTGAGTTTACGAGTGAGGACGCTTCAACTGGATGAGGATTTGGACGTATATAGTAGGGTCATTAAATCTATACGAAATTGATCGCAGGCATAATAAGGAAGGTGATCTGGTACTTATGGAAGGTAGAATATTGAAGCCGTACTAAGGGAACTTGTAATAAGAGTAGGTATTTAACTGAAATAAAGTCGTGAAGGAAGATGGATTAATGAAGTGGTTTAAGGTGCCAGCTGAAAATGGAATATCGAAGCATTATGAAGGGTGGAAAAAGCTCACTACATATTTGTTTAGTGTTGATTAGATTTACAAGATTATGGGCGAGTATATCCTTTGTAATGTCGTTAAATTAATTTTACTCCTTGCAAGATTTTGAGAAATGATATAGATTAGGCCGTAAGAATGTATTTCTAACATTTTTTGGGTACCGTGAAAAAGTTCTAGTTCTTTTGCATGATAAATTATGATTACGAGGCACACTCTGCGATAGTTGCGTAAAATATCGGGAACAGAAATTGAGATGAGAAGAACCTCAAATTTGATGCGGTGTATTCAAAATTAGTTTATAGGTGTCGATGTTGCTCCCCGACAATTAACCCGAATTAGTAAAAACATCGAATTCTGTAATCTTTGTCATGATTATCAATTTTATAGAATCTAAATTAATTACATGGAATGTTACTGCCGTACGAATACGATCGATTGCTGAAGAAGAGACACGTACTTATTTATTTATTGTGAGAAGTCCGGTTTTTTAAAATGCAGTGTTGAATTACTTGACATAAAATGTCTGTTATTTTTGTTTGCATATTTTCCGTTTCGTTTCGATTCAGTCGAAATATTTGCAATCAATGCGGTTTGAAATTCATTTGTTATATCATGATTAATTTTGTTGTTTTCTTACGCAGGTAATTTTCAAAACATTTTGTTTCTTGTTCGGACATTCCAATATTTGTATTGTGTACATAGTCTCGTGCCAAAGTTGGTTGTTGAAGGTTATGTTGCCTTGCAACGCATTACCTATACTTTAATGGGTAGACGTAGAAAGAAAAATCTCGAGTATATTTGCTTTGCAGAAATTTTTTGTCACTGCGCTTCTATTTATTTTCATGAATTTTTGGAAAATTTCACGGGCAAATATTTCATTATAAAAAATTAGAATGAAAATAATGCTTTGTCAAAAGTTATTGTTCTAAATATTATTTGTAATACGATAGTATCTGTTTCTATGAATCAATGTAGTTAGGCAGGATGTGGTCTCTGCTAGCGTCTAACACGTTATTTCGATCGCACACTAATCCTCACCTCGTCAAATCCATCATGAATTAATCAATGGTTCCGTCAAACATATGCTCTAGTTAACCTTTTTCTGTGACTTATGTAATGCGACATTGCGCCTCCTAGCGAATCCACTCGTGCACAGAGCGAGAACTAGCGAAGTTTTTCGTATCTTCTCTGCTCCCGTTTTTCATTTCAAAATTTACTTAAGAATTAGAAATATCCTCTATCTGAATTTATGTTCTCGTTAAAATTTGCTAATCAGACATTTTATATAAATTTTTCCTTATTTATAGCAGGCTCGCATTAGGCTGAAGTTTTACCATATCCAAGATAAGGTAAAAGTAAGAGTTAATTTATTTAATTTGAAAAACCACCATTTTTATGATTAAGTTTTTTAATATGACTCGTGCCGTCTTCTAACAGCCTATGGAGATCCAATGCCCTAGCGCTTCTAGAGTCTAGTGACTTAATTTTTATACATGCCCATGATTTCTTCAATTTAAGTTGTTTTCAAGTTGAGTGCATTATTCTCGTGATTCGGTTGCTTCCTAAAACTTTAGTCTGCAGGTGAAGTGATTGCTTGCACAAAATTATAGTTGATGTTATAAGTTAAGTTTCTTCAATATTATTAATAACACCTGCTTCTTCTTTCCTCGTCCACTCTTTATTCCCCTATTTTAGCGTAGAATCAAAAAATCAAGAAATTTCAATGAAGTATCTAAAGTGGTAAAGAAAAACAAAACAATTAGCTCATTTTTTATCAAGTCAAATCTGCTAAAAAAGGGGTCACTTCCATTCACAAAGTATAAATAGAAAAAAAAAGATAGAAAGATCAACAACATAATTTAAACTTTGGTCAATCTTATTAACTTAAAAGGGCGGTAGCACAGGACCTGTTTTCCGCCACCTTGAAGGAAGAACTCCCCGCAACCGAAATTCAGCAACACAATTTACTGCCTCAATAATTCTATGTTACCCAAGAAACGGTATCCTAATCTCTCGGGGAACAAAGTTTACTCACAATAAATTTAACATAATACAAAGTCAGGCTACGAGTAAAGAGAACCAATGCAAGTTTTGGAATTGCTTTGCTGCGTTCGCGCCCGTCGGACTTACCGAATGCTGTGTTCTCTTCACGTTAAGAAATCGCACATTCATTCAAACGATTGACAGTCTCAAGGAAATTGCTCTCTTCAGCTCAGCAAAAGCAATGTGAGTACAAGATACATGTTTTCCAATATTCTGAGTGAAAGGTACTCTTTCTTTTCCATAATTATTTTATGAATTCGCCATAATTAATAACTGAGAAGCAATAGGAGAACATTAAATCGGGGAAAATTTGTGCCAGAGAAATGCGAAATTACAAGAACAAGATCAAATGCACGGATATTTCACCTCGTGTTTGCCATCACTGCAAGTATTGTAGCAATATTTCTATTCACACGCTAGACGCTGTGATGAATAACAATATTACCCACACATCCCAGTGCTGATTACCATGATTTAGCGGATAAATTTATCCATCATGATGATGGCTCACAGTAATAATTACCAATCTTCAAGAAACCTCCCATGTTCAACGTTGGAGTGAAACCAATTTAAAATATTTGTAAATAAAATGTTTCCGTGTTGTACATCCTTGCTGTCTGTACAACTCGGATACATTCAACTAGCTTCGCAGAGCCATGTTTAGAAATATATTTCAAATAACTTTAAATTGGTGAATTAATACAAGCATTATAAGTCCAACAACGAATTTACTACAGAGTTTCAAAATAATATTTCCCAGCCCCAAATAATATAGGAGCAACAACGATACCATACGCATGGCTAACAATATAGTAAAGAATTTATGAAAAATTGTTCCTATCGCTCAAAAGTATCAAAAGTAAAACATGTCGACCTCCTAATAACTTTGGAATACAACACGGCTTATTCTTAAAATCACTCCCATCAACTGTGACATAATTAACTAACGTATAAAAATTTTTCAGCCAACACTACAGATTCAAGTTTTCTATGAGATAAACGGCCTTAAGTTGCTTGTGTGCCATCAACGTCGCTCGTGATGGCCTGCGCGCTCTTTCTATTCCTCATTTTTACAGCGCCAAATAACATCTCATGAACAATTAATTATAATTTATAAATAAATAATTATAATTTTAAAAATAAATCCGCATGCCAGAGCTTCAAAATTGGATATGCTAAATTACAAGGATGACTGATACTACTTCCACTGATTTAATGAGTCTGGAACACAAAAATGAGTCTGGAACACAAAAAAAAAACAAATTCGTAACAGATGAACAGAAAAATTTCTTTAAGGTTGTTACGAATGTTCCACGAATTAATTTGTCGAGTTCTTCACAAAAATTGTGTTTGCTGACACTCAGAAGAGTAGAGGAAGTTATTCATCACGAGTGAGCCATTCACGAGCGACATATTAATGATAAAATTTGGTGCTAAAGAAAATATTGCGTCAACGTTTCAAGCATCATTTGAGCAGATGCAGAAATTGAAACAATAAATACGTGGGCCACAAACTACGCTAACTAGGCTTTGAGTGAACCTTAAATCGAAACAGAACTATTAAAGTCGCGCGCATAATTCACAATAGCAAATACCTAAAATAAAAACTGATATTAAGTAGAAAAGTTCACTAAAGTTTTGTTTCAAAAGTTCACAGCAAGATTTGGCAATTATTCTGCTATCTCCTTTTAGCATCGTTGAAATTTAATGTCGTTAGATTAAACAACGAAGAATAGCACCATTTCTTGAATACTCAAGTAAATTCACGGTATCATACACACCATACACATACACACATCTACGTCCATGTTGATGCGAGACAAAAAAATTAGAAACAGCATTGGGACAAACACTTTGTTGCTGAGTTCTCACTCAAAATTTACAAGGTTTATAAGAAGGTAAACCAATGAGCTCTCTCGTCAAAGGAATAAAATCTTGGCAAATGAATGACTCGGGACAGCTTCTCCCTTCTGCCATGTGTTGAAGGGAGAAGCTGTCTACAACGTTCACTGAAACTATGCTGCGAATAAGATTTAAACTGTTTTTTAATTAATTTCAGGGGATCAATCTATACAGTGGAGAGTGAATACTTAATAGCAAAATGTTAGAATTAAATGTACATATTTTCGAAAAGTCATATGTCATTCAGTAATGAATATTCACAAGAAGAAACGGATAATTGATAAATCGAACACAGGCAAACAAATTGAGGATTATCATCGATCCTTGACATACCCTCCCATCTGTGACTCGTAACATTCATACAGGAGAACAAAAATATATATAGGATCTTATGGCGTATATGGAGCTGATGAACCTTTGTACTCAGAGACCTAAACGATAATACATTGCTAATGGAGAGGCGGGCGAGATATGCTAAGAAAAGAGCTCCTTAACAGACGCTCTGACTCACCGAGCAGTTCTCAAGACTTCTTAAGTAGAATAAAATATTCAAAACATTCATGTGCTACAGGACTAATAAACACAAACGCCTACAACCAACGTGCGATAAAAATGAAAAAAAAAGAAGATACGCGTTCATTGAAACCTTAGGATATTGTTGGGATCCTTCCGGCAGCATGGAGGTTTACGTAGGAGAGCGTACACATTGATACCTATACTTTGCCGTAACACATTCTCGAACAATTGAAAGGTCAATCAAAACTTATCTGCTCCGTAATTAATCTGAAAATAATTCATATATTAAGATATGTGTTTTTCTCTCAATAAACTGAGTCTTGAATGTAAAGAGATTTGCAACGCGATTCTTCATGACTGAGAAATGAACCACACGATATTTATACTTCCAAACGCGTGCAAGATAGCCATGCATCACATAGATTATAAAATTATTTGTATTTCCGGTTTAACAAACGTCACAAGACAGGCGACCATGTCAGCCGTCACTAGCGTTCATTTCCTTATCCTATCACCGCCTGGAACAATTATCTGGTGGATCATTCAAGCGAGGAAACCGAAAATAACAATGCAGGGTAATACAAATTTGAAACGAACTAATACTTGAGCACGCACGAGTAAGATCCATAAATATTATGAAGGTGATGCGCATGAGGGAACAATATCAACAATGCGCGTTGTTTTGCAAAACACATACAATATTCAGTTGAAGGATTTTTCCTGGCACATAATTGACATGTTCCATAACATCGCACCAGTGTCAACTTACTAAAACTATTAGCACATTTGTATTTCGTAACCAATTTTGATCAACATGGACACAGAGCGGAGGTTAATCATCAGCTTTTTGCAAAACATTCAACATTTTTACAAAATACTTCCTTTTTCACAGAACTATAAACTATGAAAAATTTTCATAAATTTCGGTCCAAAATCTAATTTTCTACGTAACTAATAGCACGAATGTAGTGAGAGCGAAATAAATGAGATAATAAACATGAATCGTGCTGCCCAAAAATTTCTCATCAGGTCAATTCATTGCATGGGATGAAGATCGATCGATTTCAGGAGTTAGCCTCGACAAACGCTGTTCATGACAGGGAATGAATCGTTCAAAATTTAGAAAATTATTCACCAGATTCATAATTTTCGACAACAATATGAGCCTTGAAACAACGATTTCGTGAGCTCATGAAGTTTCGCACAAGTATTAACATTTAATCATACTATTCATGTCATAACCATACTTCTTTGCAACAATCACTATAATCATAAGGACGATAAAAACATTACGAAATAGCGTAGTTCCTCAGGACCCTTAGATCATAAGTAAGGTCAACAACTGATAAGTCATAGAAAAGTTGGGTTTGCTGTCATCAGTTGGTGGGGACGAGTCTGTTGAGCTGAACGTCACCTAGAAATCTATGTGAGTAATTAAATAACATTCTGTAGGAAGTGGAACACGCCGCCAGGAAAGTCTAGTGGTGTATACACGTTAAAATTCGTCAGGGATCTGAAGAACACTAAGCTGCAGCGGTGGGGAGACAAATTAATGCTGATGAAACATTTCATTTGCTGGTGATGATGCCACGGAAATAATGCTGTCTCCAGAGTTAATAATAGCCACGGATAAGCTATGCCTTTACAAAACCAAGACATTGATCCAACCAAGCTCGAACGCGAATTTTAATTTCTGATAAGAGCTAAGAAGTAAGTAGCAAGAGGCCTTTTTAATGCTGAGCATTGTTGTGTTGATAGAAGCAATTTAGTTTGCAATTTCTGATTTACAGTGACATAAAACAGTAAAGCTATCACTAAGTCCATATCTTCTGTGGGCATTAAAAAACCTAGGTAATTTATTTAATATAAAAAATTGACAGTGAACGAGCTTGGTGGCATTTCAGTTCAAGGCTTGCAGCAGAAGACAAGCGGTTCTCGTTTGTGGTGGACAGCTATGACGTACACAGGATTGGAGAGCATGATATATTTTAAAATATTTACGAACGTCCCAAGTGAATACTTAAAACATACGAATAAGTGTGATGTACAGGATGCGTTTCTTAAGAACCTCTAGAACTTTAAAGTCACGCGGACTGAAGTATAATATTAATAAAATTTAAAAACTCTCTTAAGAGCTGAAGAGTTTCATACCTAAGCTTAACATAATCGTCTGAACCTGACGTTGGTAATGCGCAGCTCGTCAGTGCAAAGATCATCAAGTCGATAGGAAGTAAGGCCTTTGGTATACAGAGTCACAAGAATAGCAAAGGTGCAAGCTGGCGGTTGCAGTCCTAAGAGAATTTTTAAAAATGAAAGCATCATGACCTAATATACACCTCCGGGAAATGGATAGCAAATGCAGTCCATTACTAGTAACGAGTTGAAATTTTATAAGGAGTTTTAGTTCTTGATGCTAGCTATTAACAAAACTCTGTAGACTTTAAAAGACAATATTAAAGTGTTGGCGTTTAAAAAGCTGCGAAGCGAATGTTTTCTCTGTGATCTATTAGACATTTTATTATGCTGTGATCGAGAGAACATTCATCGTCAGACATTTCATAGTTGCCATTAGTTCCTGTTATTTTCGATTTGCTAATGAGGATAGAACGAAGCTCAGAAAAGTGAAACTACTTGGACAATCATTTATAAGAAGTACGTATAGGCAGTCGAAAGCAGATGCTGGAGAATAAGAAGTAGAAAAGAAAAAATAGGAAGAGCTTACGAAGAAAGGGAGTGATCAGATCGCTCAATAATAATCGCCATGCAATAACACAGTCTTAGTCCACAACAACACAGAGGTTCGTTAAACCTACTACAGAAACTAGACACCCAGCATCTGACGTGAGACCTTCCAGTTCAACGCGGACGATGAGTCATGAAACTCGAACACAGAAGCGTCCAAAAAACACAGCGAGACAACAACTGACGCACGTTGGGTATCAGGACACATAATTAATTGTAGCTGGGAAGTGTCTCGGGGAAAACTGGAGATACATGACGTGAAGTGCCTCTGGAACTGCCGTATACACTATAATGATAATGATAACACTCAGCAAACACACATGAAATGGTTGTTGGATTATAATACATAATGTTTTTGCAGAGTTCAATTTGTTTGAACGTTATTAGCTTCACTTAAGTTTTGCATACTTTGATAATTTCGAACGGTTTCTAAATTCTGTAAACTTTGTTGCAGACTGTGCACAGGTTTAGCGAATGGTATGCCCAGATGAGTCGTGATGTGCTTTGATAAATAGTCGGCTCTTGCAAACTTCTTGCCACACACCTTGCAGGGATAAGGCTTTTCCCCGGTATGGATCCGTAGATGCCTATTCATGTCCGAGCGCCCACCGAAAGCTTTGCCACATACGCCGCAGTTATACGGTTTCTCCCCCGTGTGGGTGCGGATATGAAGCTTGAGATTCTCGCGGCCTTTAAAGCCTTTGGTGCAGTATGGACATTTGAACGGCCGCTCCTCTTCGAACGACAGTCCGCCTCCTGACGACGGAGGAATAGAGTCTTCTAGGAGCTTAGCGCCACTGCTGTTGCTGCTCGCGGACGCACCTGCTCCAGAAAGGACGCCACTCACGCTGCCACCAAGGGTGGTCGCACACACGCTCGCAGGACAGACGCTGGCTGAGGCGCTGACAATAATGGGCAGTGAGGACGCGGCGCTGGACATAGCCATTACGGTCGGTGACATCGTCACTTTATTTGCATTTGAAAGTGACGTGAAGTTGATGGACGTGAACGGAGAGTACAGAGACGAAGATGAAGAGGCCGTCGTTGCACAGGAGGGACTCAGCATGGAAGCGTGTAGCTGCGGCGACGAAGCTGCAGCCCCAGCAAGAGGGGATCGTGAGTTCAGAGATGGAGGCCAGCCAGGAGACCGGTGAGGGGAGGCAGGTGGTGAGGATGACCCGCTGTGAGGATTGGATAGGTTGGAGTTTTCTCCGCCAGGAACCGACACCTCTCTCATGTTTTCATGTGAACACTCCGATGATAACAAGCGGCAATGTGCGTCAAAGTTTGCCACATCGCGGAAAGTAGCTTTGCACTTGAGACAGTGTATAAATTTCCATGTACAACTCTCGTCCTCCATTTCTTCGTCTTCATCTTTAACTTCCCCGTTCTCGGGAATGGAGGCACTCGGAGTGGAAGGAGGCTGGTCCCCAATAGAGTCATCCACATCCACCAATTCCTCTTTGAAAGACAGGGGAACTCGACTGTCCAACGCAAGGCCACCTCGAGCCTGAACGTTCGAGGACAATGGTGGCCCACCGAGACGGGAATTCAGGAGACACTGTATGTATGCGGGCGGCAGGGACGACTTGGACTCGTCGGACGACTCGTTCTTCATTATATGATCGAGGACATCGTGGTTGGATCTGTGTTTCAAGAAACTCTTGTGATACTTGAAACATTGGCCGCAAACGGTACAGCGATAAGGCTTCTCGCCCGGTAGCTTGGCAGTGTGGTTCTGCTCCTGGTGCCGCTGGAAGGCGGATTGGTACTTATACCTTTGGCCACAGTGGTCGCATTTGTACGGCTTTTCTTCTTCGTGGATTTTTATGTGTTCCTCTAGGAACTGTTGGGAAGGCATGATGCGCGCGCAGATATGACACGTGTATTCAGCTTCTCCGTCCTTCGCGGGGGAGACGACGCCCACAGGGGCAGCTCCAACCATGCCAGGCATTGTAAATGAGGGAGCAATACCCGCAGGTAACGCAGAGTCAGAGTTGCCAAGGGACTTGACAAGGTCCAGAAACTGCAGTAGGTCTTTGGTTTGGTTGGAGAGGCCCGGCACGCCGGGTGGCAGTGAGGCTGGGGCATCAAGACCTGCCCCGAAATAGGGCAGCGGTGGGTAACCCATGGCTAGCGCCCTCTGGATGAAGGTGAGCTGATGCCGACTCATGGGTGCGGGAGTGCTGGGGTGCAGAGGCGAAGCGTGAGGTAACGGGGTGACGGAGAGGCCTGAGGGAGGTCGCACAGGAGGAGAGCAGGAGGAAGGAGCGCAAGACACGCAGTCACCGCCGTCCTCCTTCAGGAGCCCGTCGGACAAACGCATTTTCTGGTGAAAAATTTGTAAATTGTAATTCTCTTCATTTGGATTCTAGTGTTCTTGTTTTTATGATTCTCTTAAACCATAAAAAAGATTCAATTCAAAACATCAATTCATAGTTTTCTTTCTAATTTACATATTAGTGAACATAACTACAATTAAAAACGCTTACATTTATATTGATGTGACTCACTGCAGAGGGCGATCTGTTAACTTCTCTTGTCCTGACAGAAGCGTTGACGGGAGACTGACGACGCTGCTCATGACTATCGCGATTGACGGTGACTGTCAGCTCCAGTGGTTCCTGGTACACAAAAGTCAGGATTAAATTTTTTTGCTGGAATGGCACCTCGAATAAGTGAACGATTGGGAAAAATTAAAATCGGTATTCAGCAGCACGATAAGTCAGTCGACCCGATAATATAAAATAACAGATAGTGTCATAATTGCAGGTAATGAATACTCAGGCATCGGATGTAAAACACTGGAAGTGAACGTTTCTCACCTCACTGCGGTCATGAGTGTCTGGAGTCCTGGACCGTACGTCAGGTTCGTCGTTTCCTGAGAGCTCATCTTCCCTCATTTGGCTCTTCGACGGACTGTTAGTGCCGTTTTGATGACCTTCCCCATCAGACAATCTTCGCCTCTTGGGAGTGGGAGAACACGAGTCTACTTGGAGGGAGGATCTGGGGGATAGAGAAGCCGCCGAGGCACCCACGAATGCTGCACAAGGGGATGGGGGAGGCATGTTGGGTGGAGCTGAGGAAGAGGCATTGCAGCGTTGCTTACCATTACTAGTGAGATCAGTTGGCTGGTCCATGGCAGTCATGGACAATGGTTCAGTTTTGGCGGATGCCATGTCAGAACTGGCAGTTCTTGAGGCCTCTTCCTCATCATCACTTTTATGTTCATTCTCCGGCACGCTGACGCTGCGACTGTTACTGATAGTCGGGGTGCAGCTGAAGCTTGCAGGAGACTCACCGGGGTCTTGCGAGGAGTTCCCATTACTTTTGGTGGCAAGAGCAGTAGATTCAACTTCAGTAGAAGGAATGGGAATAATATTTTCAACAGAATTTGAGATGCTTGATTCATTTTCTTGAATTTTCGAGAATGACCGGGCCGCGGCTAACTGCAGCTGCGTTTCCTGCAGCCTTTTATCCGCCAGACCACGTATTTGCAACTCACGAGCAATGGAGATGAGAACAGGCAATTCTTTCTGATCCACGGCCACCTCGCCATTGTAAATGAAGTGGATGATGGCCTTAAGGTGATCATACTTGATCCCTTTGAGGATGATGACGGGATGCCTGTCGGGGTTGTCGACGAGGAGCTGCGTGAAATAAGGCGAGCATGCCGACAGCACCAGGCGATGTGCCTTCACACGGCGCCCCTCGCACGATATCGTCACGTCCACGAACGTCTCGGTCTCCAGCAGGGAATTGAAGACGCCAACCAAGTTCGCCCAGTGATAGTTCCACTTGAGGCAGTACTGATCTGATCCCATCATCAGCACAGCTGCAACAACAACAACACCAAATTAATGAGTGTTTCCAGCAGCATTGAGCAGCACATTATAGCAAAAAAGAACACTTGGATTTAAACATGAACTCTGAGGTTGTTATCGGTAAAACAGGCTGAGAGTTATACCATTCCAAACTGTTGATATAACGGCGGGAATTGCATCGCCAATATGATTTAGGACTCTAATATCAGAAGCAGGACAGGATATATATGAACTGAAAAGATAGTTAAATCAAGTTGGATACATAGCACCAAACCTCGCGCTCATATGTCAACAAGTAAATCGTGATTAAAAGCGTATAAACAATTTGCACTGCCGAGAAGTGCTTGCTAAACGAACACATGATTAGCGACAAAGAAGGATGCAAAGCACTAATTTTTGTTGATGTTTTGCCTTAAAAATTAACACTATGGCGCTCACATTACGTATATACTTGACACGTTTCCGTAAACACTTTGATATTGAAGCCCAAACGCATGAATATCTGTCACTCCATTAGACAAAACACCCATACAAAAACGTACCGGTATGATATTTCATCAAAACCAACCTTCCTCTCGTATTTCTATGGGAGACGCTCACGTATGCGAATTGTTAGTTCCCTATCGACGACAGGCGTCTATTAGGCAGCACAAATGAAACGGATCTGACTCATAATCCTACTCCAAGCCTCTAATTCCGAGAATATATTATTCAAATTGAGACACAACGACGAGGTCATCGACTCATATTATTGAACGATCATGTAACTGAGTAAATTTGTTCTATTTTACAAGGCAACTTATGCAGCTCACGCGCCTGCTTCGGAGATAAAGGACTTGTCTAAAATTAGGCTAGTCCATTGGCCCTGAGTCTGGACATACATTTGCATCATGACTTTACTGGGAACATACACGATTAAATGTACCCTCGGGTATGATAAAGAGTTATGAAGGCATGCAACATTAGGCTGGACGAGTGTAAACCAAGCCTTCATGTGCTGTCCACGAAAATTGTTAAGCAGGTTATTTATTTTGTTTTGGCTTGTTTAATAATCAAATGCAATCATCCCAGTGATCCCACAAGGAAAATAGGGAGTTGAATGCATTATAAAAAAAATATAACTCAGTACGCACTGCAGTGAGTGACAGAGAGCGCATTTACTCGTCGACGAAAACGTGAAGTCGCGGACAGACAGACAGGCGGACGGACAGACAGACGGACGGACAGACAGACGGACCGACGGACATGACGAGCACAATAGGGCATTTTTCCCATAAATGAGAAAATCCGCTAAAAAGAGATACTTTTTGTTAATATTATAAAGGAACACTCAATTTGATCTATGGAAAACACTTATCGTGTTGTCTCATTACAACGGTTGCATTTGTTGTGCGGGATAACAATAGGATCCTCGTTGTTTCTCGTTTAGGTTTCAATTTGACACATTTCACACATTTCAGGTTTCACATTTGACAATTGCGAATTATGATATACATGATTGATCTTCGTTTATTTTGTTGTGCTTTTGTTCAATATTCTTTGGTTAAATTCTTCACTATCGCGAATGCTAAATTTATTGTTATTTACACTTTTCAAAAAGGCTCCGAAATTATTAGTCTACGAAAGACTGCGAAAGTGAGACTTGATAAAAGTTTTAAAAGTGATTTGGAGATTAAAAAATACTGGTTAATACTTTTCGACTCGAAGTCTATTAATTATTATCGATTACAGTTGTCATTTTTATCAATCCTTTCCTTCGCCGTGGAATGGTTGGCCCAATGATCACAGTGTCTGTGGCCATTGAAGGCTTCGTTTCGATATTCATTTGCCGAATAGGCCCATGCATTGAAAAATTTTTGTTCAATTGGCAATAATTGCAAGAAATCTAAAAGAAAAAGCTGCGATGAATTTAACATCTAAGAATCGGTTTAGAAATACTAGCAATGTGAAAAAGTGACATGAAATCTAAAGAGCTCAATGAGGCTCAGGGAATTAAAATGTAAAACTTCAACAATCGCGAAAACAATATCTCTAATGGAAATGGTAAATGGACATTCCAACGAAATTCGTATCAGAAGTTCTCGTAACTGGACAGGCTTAAGATGCGGCGTGACGTCGAATGCTAGCATGCGTTTTTACTTGGCATTTCCGAGCCTCGAGATTGAAGGCTTCAGTTGCCGCGTTTGTGTGATAAGTATAATGAAAAAACAGATACATGAATTATTAAATCACATCTGGTATATTTTCATTTGAATACATTATATTTGCTTGTGATTTTGTAAGAGAAATCCTCAGAAGGAAAAGATACAAGGACTAGATTTAACCGTAATGATAACGTTTGCACGATTTAAATGAATACTTTTTTGAATTCGACCAAAGTTAGCGAAAGTCATTACAGAAGTCAAATGTAACAATAGCAAATGTTGTTGCTCGTAATTATCCCACATCAACCTGCGATAATGAAATAATTCAAGGATATTCTACGGATTCAAACTAATACGATAAGGGACAATAAAAATAGCGGACAATGTATCGGGATGAGCAAAGCCGGCACTCATCGTGCTTCTGGCAGTCGAGTTCGCGTCCCTCAGGGCCAAGGGCGTGGGGCAGTGGCACCACGTGCTCGCATATTGGCACTTCACGAGTGCCTCTCTATTAAAGAGCACGCTTCTCTTTTCAGGAACTTCATTTGAACGGTCACGAGAGGTAGAAACGTTGTTTTATGCACTCTTTGAATGGCCTTTATGTTGAAGAAGAGGAATGTATTTTTCGCCAGCGCCTCTTAAACGTTCACAAAATTTCAGGGATTGAATTCAAGATCTCATCAAAAACAGAATAGTTTTCTTAGATTCAATGCTTTGTACAGGATACAACTATGTTATGAAACAACAGCTTATACTTCACGATAAATCTTAGTCATTCAGCATTTAATAAGCCTTTTCTGCATCGTGTTTTGATTATTACAAAAAGATGGTCATGGAATAGATTAGCTAAGTTTAGCCGTTCGAAAGTGAGAAGCCTTCAAAATAAAATGAAACATTATGAGCGATATATAAAACTTACCAAGACTTGACAATTTTCTAGACTTTTATTTAGAATTTTATTTAATAAAAAAACACATTTGTTTGTCTGTCCATAAAAAAGCAGTGAAAATCACATAAGGCCATTTTCAAAATGTAAAGGAATGTATAAAAAAATTCCATTGCAAATATGTAAGTAAAATCAGAACTATAAGAACAAACACAACAACATTTGGAGTGTAAAAAGCTACTATAATCTGTTTAAATGAACTCACCGTAGGTGGCCTCTCCCTCTTGCCTACACATGTCACTCTGGCCATGCCGGGGAGAGGAGAGGGTGCAGGGGGTTAGGGGTGAGGGAGGGGGTGTCGGAGACAGTGGGGGTCACCGGGTTCTAGCGAAGGGAGGAGCCTTCAAGAGAGACGACGTCGTGGAGGCGCGGGGGAGAAGGGGGGGGGAGTGGTGGGAGGCGAGCAGTTGATAAAGGGCAGGAGGAGGATGAGAGGAATTAAAGAACGAAGTCCTCACACCCGCAACTGGGGAGGCGGCGGTGAGGGGAATTTACAACCCTTTACACCCACAACTGGGGCGGAGGCGTGAGTGGAAGCGAGGCTCCTTGCGTTACCTCCACCGCCCGCATCACGCTGTCTTCCCGCCAAACGAGTTCGTTGCTGTAAATTTTCTGTTGTTCTGTAAGGCTTCAATGTAGGGCTTGGATAATATAAAACTGTTCAATTATTCCCACAAAAACTGTTAGTCTCCCGAGTAGCAGCAAGACAAACGCTCAGCGCGGTAAAACGTGAGTAGAATTCCGTGATTTGTGCTATTTTCGAACACAGGAATTTTCCTTCTGCTCAACTGAGAGAAACTCTACTTATGTCATCCAATGAATGGCAAGAAGAAAAAGAAAGCGATGATTGATGAAAATTTCTAGAGATTTTCAAATCTAGGAAGACACACAAGACAGATAAGGTACAAGGCGAAGCACCAGAATTGTCGACGAAAATTATATAGCACCACAGGAACGGAATTTTCACCAGGCTCTTTTACTATAAACATCCTTCAACTCTTCAAACGTAGCATGAATTTATTAATTCATGAAGACTGTTGAAGCTGTTATTTCTAAGGTATGATTATTTCTGTCACGTGCTGCAATTTTTTCAGGTTATTCGACCATCACTTCAAGTTATGATCGCAGATCAATAAATGACGGGAATGGTCGAGATCAAGCCATCAATATCACTGACACCTCCAGAACCGACAATTTTGTCCAGTTGTTGTAGCATAGGATGCGACTGACTGCCAGTTTATTGTTACCAACAAAGCATAATGCACATGTTAAAAAATTCAATGTAATCCTCCTAATGTATTTTGTTTTCAATAATTAATAATAATTTCACTATTTTATTTCATAAGGTATATTTTTCATCCGTGCCTCAACAGTATATTCGTGTGCTGTACGAAATATCAGCCCATTCGTGTTCTACGAACTATAGTTCACTCGTGTTCAGTTGAGACACGGACCTAGTAAATAACTAGGAGTGTATGGTGCTGTGTATTAGTAGTCACATTAGTTACTTTAGATCGCCAACTCAGCGACAGTTTGGAATTGAAAGTGTCTGAAAAAAAAGAGTGCATTAAATTGATTAGTTACTTTAAACACTGAAATAAGTAATTAAAAAACATGTACAACAAATATTTTTATTATAAAGTCTTATAACTGAATTGACCACAATACAGCCATACCAACTTCGACCAAATCATTGCTCTTCAGTATCAGGCGGTCATCCACTGAGCGTACTGGAATCAATCCCGTCCTCAGCTATGCACACATGCATGGACCGACACACAAGCAAGCATGCAAGCAAACAGCGCATCACAGGCAAACCGCGTACATATTGGAATGCAAGCAGACCACAAGCAAGCATACAAAAAACAGTCAGGAAGTTAACCAAGGTAACAGAATATTATGCAGCCCAGCATTGACCAAGGATGCTGGCAGGAAAACCATGCAAACAAACAGACATGCAGGCAAGCATTCAAGCACAACTCGCTCAGTAGTCAAGCACGCAATCAATGCAAGGGTTTGAGAACGCCGGGACAATCGAACGCGGTACACAGCCGAGAACTGCATGAGAACTTTTCCCAGCCGCGCTGTCCAAAAACAAAGAACCCGAAACCAGCAGCGGGTGCCTATCGTCGTCTCGTATGCATATCACCATCACCTATACGTATCGTCATCAGCGAAAACTACCATCATAACTTGTCAACGTCGTCGTCATCTATGCCATTTCCATTCCATTCATTCGTCACCTATGAGTATCATAATCGCGTCTATCATCGTCATCTACAAGTATCATCATAATTTACACACATAAGTGTAATCAGATCCAGTGACCAAAAAGTGAACCATGGAGATCGCCGGTAACATCTTTCGCAGGTCTTGAAGTCTGCATTGTGACGTATTTATGAAAAGGTAATAAATAGCTTCAGAATTGAGAGTTTAATGGAACTACAATGATTAACCGCAACTATGGAATTCATATTCTTTGCCGTTTATAGCTATATTTAGCAATAAAAACAGTATTTGAGATGAATAGGATTCCGATATGAATAATCAGAGCGATTGATGTTGACTCGGGAACTATAGGCTAGAGTACGAGACAGAGAGGGGTGCAGGGAGGGGCGAGAGGAGTAGAGGGTGAGCGGCATGTCGGAGGGAAGCATTAGTAGTAGTTAGCTGTTGCAAAGCCAGGGGGTGACGGAGAACAGGGGGATAGGGGATAAGCAACGCTGCTGTCGTCACAACTCTCGACCCCCTTCTTTGTTCTGAAGCGACAGCGTCCGTTTCCCGCCACGGCCAAAGCTAGAGCCAACCTTCCTACGTACGCTAACTACACACTCCCCGCCACTTACGTAGCTATAGCCCACTCCCACCAGCCACACCATAACTAGAGCAATCGAATTTTTTTCGCGATTTTACAATGTATAAAATTAAATTTTATTCTATAAATAAGCACACTATTAACATGCAGTGTGATGATGCGCCATCATCTCCTACCCTCCAGGTCCGGCTCCATCATCCCGCCCTCTACATACACTATCATCCACAACTTGTTACCAACATAGTCCTTATTATGTAGCGAGTCTGGATATAGATTGGAACTGCGGTATGAACCTGCTCGCGATCAACTTTCCAACCGTTCAAGTTCACCATATACGCATCATAAAAAAACGAAAGTACCGTTATTTTCACAAAATGTTTTATTATCATTTTTAAAACATGACTAGTATTTTGATCGCGATTCGACTATGAACCAAACCTTAGTTTGCAAATTGTAGAAAGTATTGAAATACCGTCATTCTTTAATTTTTCTGTGGTTATTAATACATAATATAAAATAGTCACCATAATTTATGATTCTGTACGTGTACATGGTCCATTAAATTCATGGTATTTCGAACGTCTTGCCACTGGCAACAAGTCACCCTTATTATACTGCAGATCTGGCTAACGACATACAGTCCAAAAATCTTATATAAAAGTCGATTTGCAAATCGCATAAGTGAAAAAATTCCTATTCGAAGGCCAAGTCAACAGGCTAATCTTAATAATTTATTTGCTCTGGTAAACCAATAATCTCGGTTCATTATAGCGTTAACTTTGAAAAATATTCGTTGTCAAAAACTGGATCCTTAATCGATTTGGGGTCCAAAATTATTATTAAGACATCAATACTTTAGATTAAAAAAGAGGAAACGTTGAACGCATCAAATACATTAAAATACTCTGTAGAAACTCACTAGAGACTAGATCAATCAAGAAATTTCCCATTAAAATGTAACATTATATTTCACGACTGAAAAAATCTCACTCAATTGAAAATAAATAGGGTCGGGAGAAAGCGCGAGTGGAGCACTTATATCGGTGGACTCTTCCCAAGATACCTTGTTACACAGCAATTTATGAACCGTTACACAATGGCAAATTACCCTTCGAGGGCAGTTAATTTTGATGCCTCGAGAGGCGCGTTCGCAGGACGCGACCGACGGGCCAACTGAGAACATTAGTCACTCGCACGCACGACGGCGGATGGAATATGGATAGACAAATTTTAACAAACGGATAATGGACGTACGACCTATGGATGGATAGACTCGGCCAGAAAAAGAGGCAGAGGGTGGCAAGCTATGGATGAATAAACTTAAACAAACAAAAAGCGGTCGAACTATGGAAACTCTAACAGGCGGACGTACGAACTAAGGACGGACAAACTAAAACAGAGGAAAAAGTGAACGGCGGAAACACTGGGATAAATATATTCAAATACTAGAACAGACGAATTTTGAATATACTGACAATGGAAGGACAAACTCAGACAATGAAGAGAACAACTCAGGGTCCGTGTGAAAAAAGGCAGAACGACCAGGATGTAAAGCACATTAATTGAACGACGTTGAAAACATTAGAAAAGGGATCTAAATGAAAGAATTGAGAGAATGGTGGTTAGGTACATGTACACAAAAAATAATTTAGCGTTTCGTGATACTTTCAACTTTTTAAAAACAGTTCCAAGTGCGGTACCTACATGTGCTACGTTCAAGAAGCAATCTTGATAACGGCTGCTATCCTTTTGATAGAAACATTAATATGGACGGATATTCATAGATACTGTTATAGTTCATACACGAAGACAGAAGATTATACATGAAAACATAAATTATTTTAAAAAGATTAAATTGTTATCAATCCAGAAAATATCAAATATTCATAAAATTACAGTCGAATTTGAAGGCCGGGGTTATTAGCGGACTTCATTGAACATCCTTTAAACAACATCCGGGTCGTCAACATTACACGTCATCTACACGAGGAAAAATAATTCTCTCTACACATACACGTGACTAGCGTCAAGATCACAAGGCCAGTAATAAACAAAACGTTCACAATAAAGAACAAAACCCGTTAGTAAGCCCAACTTGAGCGGCATTGTGACGGTAAGTTGTGAGGCTCTGGCAGCCGGGCTTGATGTGAGTCACCAATTAGGTTCAGAGCAAGAAAGTGGGCGGGGGAGGACCGGTGTATGACTAACCTACGGTCGAGCGACCCACGACACTATTTTATGTCTTACTATAAGTTGTCATACTCACCAGCATGTGACGGTACTATGAATATCATTTTATGTATGAATTATTCAAGTATAAATCTCATGAAAAGCATGCATGCATACAAGGAAACTTTTTCATCCGATTTTGTATTATCTAAAAAAAAGCTCTGTTCGACGTCTCTGCTTTCATAGGATAGACAAAAATACATTACAAACTGCAGCCAATTTTAAAGTCAAAAAGTAAATTTCACACACCTAGTTTCTTACTCAAGAGCGAATGACTGTTAACGTTAAAGAAATTGTTAATTATTTATCACAGCGTTTCAGCAAGAACATCGAGGAAGGAATGAGAGTATTAAAAGATTGCTAGTATTGCTTAACTGCAAAAGGCATCGCGCGGTCACAGGCCAAGAAACAATAGCTAGAAATCTTGGGAACGAGCTATGATTCCCTGCATGTCGGCGGTCACGCTTCGGATAATCCGACTATTTCACTTACATGAAACTCTGTCGACCATAGGCTTGTTTTTGCTGGCACTCTCGACTTTTCTGTGGAGAAGAATGCAGCGACGGTTCAGAGCTTGTATAAATAAGAACGGCTGCCGGCGAGTGAGAGAGACTAGAGATCGAGCAAAGCAAGAAATGTTCGGCTCTCGAAGTCTTCGCATCTTCACACTCTGCGGCGCTTGCAGAGATGACACTTTGGGTGGTAAACAGGAAGACCAGGAGACAACCACCTACGAGGCTGGACAGGCGGATTGATTTGGACAATCTTTCGTCAGAGCTGTTGCCATCGGTGGCTTGATCAGGCTTAGAGTAACAACTTTCTATTGTTAACAAAGACATGCAGTAAGTAATCTCACCAAACTTTTTCATCCTACTCTAGCTTTCCCTCTGAGTGAACATAACTATCAATCTATCCATCCACCCGTTAACACTTAGACGACTGTTAACGAACACTGGCTCATTTTTAGACTTGGCGGTGGCTCAGTGCGATGCGCTTTGTATCCAGCCAATTATGGAGGCCCTTGAGCAATTCACTCAGAGTTAGAACTCTTTGATGAGCAGATAAGGCTGGCAGTGAGCGCTAGTGCATGATCGCGTTCAATTGACCTTCGAGGCACGAAAAGCCTGCCTGGATGAAACTACCGAGCAGTTGTAGGCAACCTCGTCGCAATTATCTGAAGGCTTAAATCAAGATATGACCATGCATTATAAAACGAGCCTGAGCGTACTGACTGGGCTCGTTAAGAACTTTCGGGGGAGCAGTAAACTT